AGTAAGAAAACTGTATTTTATTTGCAAAAGCTATGATGACCTATATAGACAATTCCAAAGAAACTGCTAAAAAACTACTAGAACTAATATGTGAGTTTGGCAAAGCCACAGGCTACAAGGTCACTGCATAAAAACCAACTTTATTTCTGTGCACTAATAATGAACAATAAGAATGGGCATTTTTAAAAGACCATCTTTTACAGTAGCATCCCAAAATATGAAATATTTAGGTACAAATCTAACAAAGGACGTGCAATAATTATATGCTGAAAATTACAAAATTTTGGTAAGAGAAATTAAAGAAGACTTACATAAGTGGCGAACTATAACATTTTCATGAATTGGAAAATTTGATGTTCTCAAAATTTTACTGTATTTGCCGGCGTATAAGATGACTGGGCGTATAAGACGACCCCCTAACATTTCCACTCAAAATACAGAGTTTGTTATATACTCGCCGTATAAGACTACCCCTCTTCCGCACACCTTCCACACACCAAATAAAAGGTAAAACAATATCAGATTTGATTTGGCCCACTGAAGTGCAAACAAGCATATTGTATTTCGTGTCACCACATAACCGTTTTGGCGATGTTGAGCCACCATGTCTGCTACATGTTTTTCGAGTTCTGGCCAGTGTGGGGTGCCTCTTCTTAATGCACACTTACCCCTTGGCATACTCTTTAATGCTTTCTCATTTGATTTCCAGTCCCGAACCATCTTTTCTGTTACTCCATATTGTCTTGCAGCAGCACAATTATTATTTTCCTTAGCAAAGTTTATAACTTTCAGTTTAAAATTTGCATCATACTTCTTTCTTTTGGCTGGTGCCATGATAGGGATGATAGGGGTTTGACTGGTCGACATTTTCTATGCTGTACTGTACAATGGTGCAGTATTGTGGTTGGCTGTTGGCTGTATACAAAGCCTGATTTGATTGGTCCCTGCTCCCTGTTTGCCCGCTCTGTCACTATAGCAGTCTGGTCCACCCTTGCATCAGCATCTCCCTGGGACCTCACTAGTGCGCAAGTGCGAGCTCTTCATTCTAACAGGCACCATGATAGCGCAAAATCGCGAATCTTCAATGCATATGTAAAGAAATATACGGTAACCCGAATTTACCACACTCGCAAAATCGCACACAGCCGACCATACACCCAGTATGGTATCGCGATTCGCGATTTTGCGCTATCATACTGGGTGTATGGTCGGCTGTGTGTGATTTTGCGAGTGTGGTAAAATCGCATAACAGCAAAATCGCATAACAGCCGAGCATACACCCAGCAGCGCTGCTGATGCCTGAACGGTATGTGGAATGAAGTGGGCGGGCATCGGGAGGCCACTATGGCACGGGGCAAGCACTATGGGCAGTCTATCTGAAGTGTACCTGGCGTATAAGACAACCCCCCACTTGGAGGCATATTTTTCAGGGCCAAAAAATCGTCTTATACGCCGGCAAATACGGTAATAATCCTCAATTTGATCTATGCATGCAAAACAATCACAATAAAAACCCCAGTAGACTTTTTTTGTAGAAATTGACAAGTTGATTTTAAAATTTATATGAACAAGCAAAGCACCTAGAATATCCAAAACAATTTTTAAAAGATTCTAGAAATAGACCCATATGTATATGGTCAATTGATTTTTAAAAAATAACTTTATTGACATATTTTGCATATAATTCACCCTTCTCAAGTATATAATTCATGGTCAATTGATTTTTTATAACGGTGTCAAAGTAATTCAATGGATAAAGTATAGCGTTTTCAACAAATGGTTCTGGAACAACTGGACTTCTATACATAAAAAAAAAAATCTCGACTTATATATCTTGCAACATATAAAAAAAATCAACTTGAAATGCATCATAAACATAAATATAAAACCTAAAATTATAAAACTCCTAGAAGAAAAAGTAGAAGAAAAAAATTTGTGACCCTGGATTAGGCAAAGATTTTTTGATAGGACACAAAAAGTATAAATCATAAAAGAAGAAAACTGTTAAATAGGTTATCAAAACTAGAAACCTTTGCTCTTCAAAAGACGCTGTTAAAAGGATGAACAGACAAGTTACAAACTGGGAGAAAATATTTGCAAAACACTTATCTAATAAATGATATGTGCCCAGAATATATAAAGAACTCTCAAAACTCCAAAGAATTCAAACCAATTTTAAAATGGATACAAAAATGATAGCAAATAAGCACATGGAAAGATTCTCAACATCATTAGTTATTAAGGAAATGCAAATTAAAACCACTATGAAATAGTATTATAAATCTATTACAATGGTTTGAAAACAGAAACATACTACCAAGTGCTGACAAGGATACAGAGCAACTGGAACTCTACTACAATGCTGGTAGGAATACGAAATCGCCCAGCCACTTGAAAATGGTTTGGAAGTTTCTTCTAGAGAGAAGGATGTACTTACCATATGACTCAGCAGCCCCACTCCCAGGTATTTCCCAAAGAGAAGTGAAAACACATGTCTACACAAAGACCTATACACAAATGTTTTTAGTGGCTTTATTTATAGTAGCCAAAACCTGAAGAAAACCCAAATGTCCTTCAATTAGTCATGGATTTCTAAACATGTGATACATACAATAGACTACAACTCAGCAATAAAAAGAAATGCACTACTAATACATACAACCAGACAAACGAATTGCAAAAGCATTAGGCTAAAATACAAACTGGCAATTTTTTTTCTGTAAAGGGGCAACATGGTAACATTTTAAGTTTTACAGACCATAAAGCCTCTGTCACAACCATTCAACTCACCATTGTAGTGCGAAACAGCCACAGATAATGTGTAAACATGAGTGCAGGTGTGTTCAGATAAAACTTTATAAACAACAGGCAATGGGCCTTATATGGCCCATGGGCAATAATTAGCCAACCCCTGTGCTAAATCAAAGGAGCCAGACATGAAAGGTTGCACTATATAATTCCATTTACATGGTCATATAAAAAAGGCAAACATATAGAAATAAATCAAATCAGTGATTGTCAAGGTCTGGGGGTAAGGGTAAGGGATTAATTAGAAAGGGGCAAAAGGCAACTTTTTTAAATGATGAAAATATTCTCCATCTCGATTGTGGTTACATGATTGTATAAATTTGTCAAAATTTATATACCTGTATACCTAAAAAGTTAATTTTACTGTACGTTAATTATGTTTTAATAATCCTGTCTTAGAAAGAAAGGAAGGAAAAGAGGAGGGAGGGAGGGAAGGAGGGAGGCCGGCACTTTTTGGTCCTCAATTCAAAAAAACCAAGAGAAAAAAATTTTTTGAGATAATAAAAAACAATCAAGGAAATTTAAACATTGACTGGATATTTGGTGATATTTTAAAAATTATTGTTCGTATTTTTTAAATGTGATAATGGTATCATGGTTATTTTTTAAAAAGAAAAAAATATATACATACTGAAGTTCTTTACAGATGATATTATATTATGTCTGGGATTTATTTTTAAAATAGTCTAGTTAAGATGGGGGTAGAAATGTACTGATAATTGTTGAAGTTGGGTGGTGGGTAGATAAGGGGTTCATTATACATTATTCTTGCTACTTTTATATATGCTTGAACAGCTACTATAGCCAAATTGCAAAGGGTAAGAATGAAAAAAAGTGAGAAAGAGATAAAAACCATAAAATAGGGATTATGCACTTAAAGTCTATTGAGGTCAGGTAGGTGAGACCAAAAGCAGTCACATCAAATTTTTGAAAAAACGTATATGAGTTTCAAACACACACACTAGCATCCTCTCTTAAGACCTTAAAACTCTGAAGATACATTTATATACTCACACAGATCTTTACAAACAATGCACAATGTCAAAAGAAGTTAAATGTAAAATGAGCTGTTTTCTAAAATCCAGAAAGTAGTGAGGTATATAATAATCATAGCCAAAACACAACAACAACAACAAAATACTGTCTTATCTGGTTCTGGGATAGTCACTAGCATTACAACCAAATCTGCTTCTAATTTCTGTTGCCACACAGCTGTGCAGCGGCCTTCCGTCCCGTTCTGTCTCCCCCCACCCCCCTCCACACTTAACCCTAAACTGACCCTTTTGAGGACAGTGCTCATACATCTTGTGTCTCCCTGTTTGGCTCCAAAGAATGGCCGGGTTAGTCAATGACGGGTAAGATTCCTCATGGGAGGAACAACCTAAGACAGGCACAGTCGGGTGGAGGCCATTAGGAAACATCTCGGGGCTGATGGAGGTGGGCATGAGCCCTCATTCGCCCCCCAAAAAGATTGGAGGTTTTCTACCTCTGTAGTTACATTCCTTCCCTCAACCTGCTTGGGAAGTGACCTGATGGTGTGATAGTATCTATCCTCAGCACAATAATCTTATCTTCCTGGGGTCATTTGCATATAGGATGTGTGAAAGCAGAGCATCTGTCTTATCGCTGCAGGCGGACTCTGGGTAATAGCAGCTTGCAGGCATCATGGGTAATTTGGCTTGAGCAAGTTCTCAGGAATGAGACTCACAGACTGTGGAGAGAACAATGCTACTTCCAGGTGAGTGGAGAAATAAAAGCAGTGTGTCCGCCCGATTCGGGGCTCTTAGTACACAGTCCATGAGGCTGGAGACCCTTGGCTCCACACTCATTTAAGTCTTGACTGCTGTTTCTTTTATTTCTGAACCCTTCGCTGACCCGTCTCGTTCTCCCACTGCTCATGTCGTGCGGGACGTAACAAATTTCAATTTGTCTTTAGCTAAGACTCATATACATCAATTTAAATGAGAAAATAGGAACGAAAAAGTGATGAGATTTTTAGTAATGTTATAGCAGAAAACACAGCTCACCGTTATCAGAATAATCCATTTTAACTAGGCAGACTGCTAAAGAAGAATATATACCTAAAATATATACCTAAAATAATTTTAGAAGAATACTATCTGAACTTTCTTAAATTTATAACAGCTGGAATAAAGATATTATCTAAGAATAAAATCAGAAATTAACTATACCCATGGTTTTCTTCATAATATTGTAGAATACGCCACCTTGCTGGAACATGTGAGGAAGCCCCTTTGCATAAGACCATACATCTTCTCCTGTAAAATAAAAACAGATTCAGTATTAGCAGCAAACAAAAGAGTTCAACCCAAGGTTGCTTTAATATGGATTAGCCTCTAACAGAGATTGCAAGGCAGATCTCCTAATTAAGTGATGCAGCCTGACATACCATATGGAGAAGATATGGAATGATGGGGCTATGGCACACTAGAAAATGCACAGCCCATCGAAGGTGGCAGCCACTGCCAAGTGTTGTCATGTCATGGAAGAGTGTAGGCCCAATGTTTCAAGACCATATGGCTTTTCAAGAGAATCCAGAAATCTGGGTTTTAATGTGAATTCTCCCAATTTTTAAATGTAGGAACTAATTCAGAAATGTCTTTAAAACTAAATGAGTCAATCCTGGGCATATTAAACAAAATAGATCTGAAAACTCAATACAGCTCAAAGGAAACGATTTGCAACCTTGGATTAGAACAACAGAAAAGGTTATTGAAAGATCATTTTTAAAAGTATAATATAAAACTGTATTTTCTATATTTCTGTTAAAACCAAATAAAAACAGATGGAAGGGCTAGGGAGAAAAGTAAATAGGTAGGCTGAAGATAAGTAATTATATTGTATTTTGTTGTTCCAAAGTGGTCTTTTCAAAATAGAAATTTGGGGAGAAAATAACTTGAAGATTTAGAATATTAGAAGTCCACAAAATATCCACAAGCAAACCACCATTTCACAAAAACATTTTTTCAAGAACATTCTTTGACAGTGCCTATTTCAATAAGAAGTTTCAAATGAAAACCTAAAAATGATAATCACTGTTCAAGAAGTTAATTAAAACTGAAAAGAACATAAAAGTTACTTTTAGTTTATGGAATGTGGTTGTTTTGGTTTCTTTATACTTTCATTTTCTAATCTGATAACGTGCAGTACTACTATTCTAATCAGGACTTTTTTTCATTAATTTTAACAAAGAAAAGTTAACTTTTATCTTTCCTACTAGAAGATTATACTATCAGATCTGAGCTTTGAATGGAGGTTATCGATGATGTGAATTAATTACATACCTACAATCTCACAGCACTCCAGCTCCTTTCCACATTTATAAACAGGAATGTGAATTTCCATGGCAGTTGGCTCAAGTTGCTCAGTATATCAGTTTAAAGTACATAAATTTTAAAAGCCTGATACTTAAAAGTTTCAGTTAACTAGAATATTTACTTATACATAAACACTTCATTAGCTAATGATACAGTGCCATTAGAATATGGCTATATTTAAGGTGAATGAATTTATCAATAAACTTAATTTGGATAAATTATTTCTGTGGGGATAACCTTTCACTTAGTTATTAATGTTATCTTAAATGTACTTAGTATTTTATAAAATACTCTAGGATATCATTTACTTGGAAAATATATTAAAAAATTATATGGTAGCACTTAATTTTTTTGGTAGAAATCTCAACAGGTACCAAAATAGTGAATTCCTCAGAACTGACCACCTAAATACTACAGTAAGGAAAATGACATTTCTTAGTATTTCATATACCCAACATTTCTTGCTTAAGCAGGCAGAACTCTAAGAAATAAGAACTCTTATTGGAGTGTTTATCAACCTTGTTTTCATTATCTCCCCCTAAGGATCTTTTTTAGACATGTTCCTAATCCACCTCCCCCATGACATTTGAATACTAGAGATATACTGTTTCTCTGTTTATGTACTATATATCTGAGCTGTATTCATTAAATAGGTTAAGATCTTTTTACCCTCTCCATCCCCCAAGAACCAGTTTTCACCCCCTTCAGGGCAATATGGCCTCACTGAGTATGCATGCTCTATTGCTTTACCACCTAAACCTCTATCTATTATCTACCAGCTCTGAGCAGGCACTTTACATAGTTTCATTTTCTCATCACAACAAAGCCATATTTTACAGACAAGAAAACAAACCCAGAGAGCTTAAATAATTCTCTCAAGATCAAACAGCTAGTAAATAGCAGAGCCAGGATTTGAATCCTGTGTATTATTCTAAAACTTATATGCCCTTTCCACTGATATTAAATCTCTACTAGAGGCAAATTGTGTTACAACAAATTTGACAGAACTACCCATGGTCTTTTCTTACAGAAATCCACACCAACAACTGGTTGGGAGAAAAAAAAAAATAGGCAAATGATTTCCTAAGGTAATCAAATGCTTCCCTGAAGTCATGTCTGCTGGTAAAAGAACCAAGGAAAGGGATTAGAGATTAAGAAGCAGCGATTGTGACCCTGCGCAATTGCCCCATCAGTCTCACATGGCTCTCCACGGCATTTCTCTCCATCCCTTGTACAAGCCCTGGTTCATTCCCATCTCCTTCCTGAATTACTGCTACCACCTCATAACTGGTTTTGCCTCTAATCTTGTTCTCCCCAGTCCCTCCTCCATACAGCCTTCCGAGTTAAACCTTTAATGGTTCCTCAAAACCATATGGTAAAGTCTAAGCTCCTTTTTCACAGCATGAAAGGCACTCTATGAGTCCTTGCCCTCTCACCTGGCTCACATCTCTCACCATTTGCTAACTTGATTTTTACAAAGCAATACCACCAAACTGCTCTGGTTCCCCAAAGGCCCCTAACTGCTATATATTCTTTAATTTGAAAAGATATATGTACCCGTATATTCACTGCAGCATTATTTATAATAGCCAAGATATGGAAACAACCTAAGTGTCCATCAACAGGTGAATGGATAAAGAAGATGTGGTATACATAAGAGAGGAATACTACTCAGCCATCAAAAAGATAAAATATTGCTATTTGCAACAACATGGATGGATCTTGGGGGTATTATGCTAAGTAAAATAAGTCAGATGGAAAATGAAAAAAATCCATGATTTCACTCATATGAGGAATATAAAACAAAAAAGAAATAAATGAACAAACAGAAGTTATAGATACATACAACAGAATGGTGGTTACCAAAGGGGAAGGGGGGATGGGGAGGGTGAATTGGGTAAAGGAGGGTCAAATATATTGTAACCAAAGGAAACTAGTCTTTTGGTGGTGAGCACGCAATAGAATATACAGCTATTGAATTATAATGTTTTATCCCTGAAAGTTATATGATGTTATAAATCAATGTTACCTTAATAAAGTTCAAATGAATTAATTAATTTAAAAAAATAATGTAGGTGTCACTTCCTCTAGGATTCTTTAGAGTGGTGGTTAGGTAAGAACCGTCCTTGCTGTTCCTATATATGAATACCATCATCCTTATCACACTGCTGGTTAATTTACTTTTTCTGTTCCCCTTCTAGACTATAAGTTTTTCAGAGTCAGGAAACGATCAGTGGCCTATCTGACTTTCTATTCCCAGGGCCTGGCACAGTGCAGGCAGTAGCACTCCTAGTCTTTGTTGAATGAAATGTATATAAATAAATAATGTAAATAAAGTTTTCCTTTTAACAACGTCAGAAAGAAGTCCTAAAAAAATTTAACTGAAGCAGCAAAATAACTGTTCTTCAAAGTTATGGATAAAATATAACTAATGTACCTCTTCATGAATTTAGTAAAACAAAATCATAGCAAAAACAAACGGAAGGATTTTAGGTACAACATTCTAGTTATAAATAAGTCATGGGGATACAATGTACAGCATAGTGACTATAGTTAATACTGTATTGCATATTTGAAAGTTGCTAAGAGACTAGATCTTAAAAAAAGAGGTGGGGAGAATTATTTTTCTACCATTTCATTAGAACAGAAATAGTTTGGTAAAGCATCTAGCAAATATTAAAATAAATCATATTTTTCTGTTAGTCTCTAATTTTACTTTATAATTCAACTGTTCCTTCATAGTACAACAGTCGAATACTTATAGTGAACATATTGTGTGTGTGTATAAATGTAGAAAAGGTCTACACCACCATAGATAAAACTGTGTTCACATCTTGTCTTCCTCAAATCCTTCCTTCTAATAGTTTTCAGTTCTCCTACCTAAACAGTAGTTATATATGGCAGTGGTATTATGAATGATTTTCCTTTTGGTTTATCTGATGTTTTTCCTCTTCAATAAGAAGTAATTTTAATTTAAAAAAGTAATTAAAATGAAACATTTTAAAAAATATTGTTACATTTTTCTTTTACTACTAATAATACAATCATGGGGTTAAAAGTGAGTTCAAAAAGTCATCATTCCAATTTTCTAAATTTAGATATTTAAAAAGGCTATTTGAAGTGTCCTTTGCCATTTATGAAGTAAATTTAAAAATCTATATGAAATATATTTTTTTAAATCCACCTAACAAATACCTAAAATTCACTCTGAACTGAAGTATCTACGACCATAAAATAAAACGACCAAAATGTAAATTTAAACCAGGAACATGAGACTGTTTCTACTAGAAAGAATCCTAAATGTATTCATTAGCTGAAAAGAATTGCTGCCATTTTTCCATCCTTCCTATAGATCCTCCCATCTAAAAATGTATCTATCTTATCAATAGTCAAAACCATTGCTAAGAATGGCATGCCTGTTTCTCTCCTTCTACTCAGTCCCTGTACAGTTTTTAGTGCCCTCATGAGCATTAAAAGATGTACTTATCATACACATATGAGCACAGAAACTTGTGTAAATGTGTACACACACACATATACAGAATCTGATTCTCTGGAGTGTGCAAATGTTAAAGAAAACTATTATGTGTTATTGCATACATACTTCAATTCTTTGAATTTTTAAAAATAATATCTTATAATGGAAAAAATATGAAGATAAAAGGTATCAAAGTAGCTGAGTACAGAAAGGAACAAAATCAATATTTAACTTAATCTTCAAAATATGATAGTATAAAAATCACCATTTATACGTATAATTCTGGAAAATCCTAAGGCAGTTATAACATCAAGAGGTACTATGAAATTACAAAATACTGTGCACTTTAAAAACATGTATATTAAAAATTCATAGTTTTTTCAGAAGGAAGATAAATAGTATATGAAAATCAAACAAGTTTCTCAACTCCTGAAAGGTCACTAAACTTTATAGTGAATGAAGTAAATATCACAGCTAGCTTAATTCCATTAAAGCAACTTCAAACTGACAAATTCTATTTTTCACAAATCTGTCTTTACATCTTGAAAAAGAAAATTAACTAGAAACTTAGTATAAATTAGCCTGGTGTTTATGGTGGATGATGTACCATCTATCATACCTACCACAAAAGAAATCTCACAAAAAACTGATCTACAAGAAAATGTAACAACATGTTTGTAATACCAGAGTTAAGAGTCACTCCAATACTATTGGGTTGTCAGAAAAGTCATGACATATTTTTTCTGTTTTTCGTTGCAAAAATGCATCATGACTTTTCAGATAACTCAATATATAAATAATGAAGATTACAGTCTGCAAAGCTTGTTCAATAACCACCAAGTGGTCTGGATAAAGTAGATAAAAACATGTCGAAAATTACAGGAAGAACATTGTTACATTTTAAAACTATCATCATAAAATTCAAAGTGACTAGTTCTATGAATGGTTCATACTGAGCAAAAGGCTGATGCATTTACTTAATGTCTTGTTGATATAAATAATAGTATAAATTCCATTTAATAAATATTCTATTTAAAAACAATGAAAGGAAAAGCACATGTCCCTGATGATCAAGCAGTCTATTTAATGAAGATATACAATCCTGTATTTATATACAGTTTTTATAATCTTTATGTATAGAGGAAAGAAAGCTGAAGATCTGTTGATGAAAGCTATAAAAGTATGGGATGTCCTCAGTTGGGATCCTGCAGGTAAGCTTATGGAGGGCAAGGATTGTGTATCATTCATCTTTGTACCTCCAGCACAGTCTAATTCATAGCAGACATTCATTTTGCTGAAATAATCTGCATTCATTCATTCAACAAACATTTACTTGGTACCTAATAAGTGTCAGGCCCTGTACTAAGTGTTAGGGTTTTCATCAGTGAATAAAACAGGCTCTTGTCTCTGCATTTGTGGAGTTTATAATACAAGTGGGGAAGGCACATGAATAAGTAAACCAACAAATAAGATAATGAAAACATGCAATAGGTGCTATGAGAGAAATGAAGAGGATACAATGATAGAGGGGACCTACTTAAGAGTGGTTAGCAAGGGCCTCTCAAAGCCTTAGATGAGGTGATCAGGGGGAGAAAGCCTCTCTTAAGAAGGTGGTATTTAATCCCATACCTAAATGAGAAGGAGCCAGCTATTTGAACAGCATAAAGTTTAATGAGCTATTTTCTAAATTAACATATCTGCAGCTTAGCTCACATTTGGTAATTCACAAAGTAATCTCTGCACTTTGAAACTTGAAATTTTCTAAATAATCCATCATTTTTCATTTTCCAGCCCACTTCAACCTAAACATCAATAGTTTCCCAGCACTCTTTATATAAGGTTATGTGTATATAACTATTTCCAAGTTGACATTTTACAAACACACCACTTTTTATTAAGAATATCTTCTATATAATTCAAATACAGTTATAAGAGAATTAGAGGTAAAAAACTAATATTTATGGAGGGACTAATACAGGCCAGGCACTGTCTTAGTACTTTACAGCAGAAAGTTTCTCAAGTGATACCACTATAAAATTAGCAAAACACTCTCTTTATGCTCAAATTTTGTGTCTGGAGTGGAAGATGTAAAGAAATTTGTGGTCTGTAAGGGCAGTGACATAAATGTTGGCGGTGAAGAGGAGGGATCATAACAGGAAGACATTATCTTGGTGAACTCATTGCAGACCACAATCTACAGTCTTCATATTCAGGTTCAGAAACCTCTAAGCAAAACTGAAAGTGACTAATTACAAACCCGAATTATATTGTACTAAATTCTGTTATGAAATATATTACGATGCTGACCAGACTTTTAGATTAATGATCATAATCTCACCCATGCCAATGTATTAACCTACACTGGTGAACAGAGCCTTCCAAGTGAACATAATCCTCATTTTCATTCTCACCTGTACATCAATTTATATCAAGAAGTTAAATGAATGATCAGAATAGATGCTTGATGAATATGGAATCAGTAAAGCGATACAGACCTTTCTGCCAGGTCATGGTGAGGACTCATCACATATTCCTGCCCCCAACAGATTACCTTCCTAGTTACCAGAATTTTCATGAACCCCAGATGATGTATCTTTTCCCTTTGTACAGCAGTGTATAAACAGTGCCAAATTCTGCTTTTCAACTCTTTTTCAATGTTCAATGCTGACCATCCTCCATTTCTGCTGACATAGCTGTTGTTTAGACATGTTAATGTCATCTGTTTAATTCAATCAAAATCATTTCGAAGTGCCTGCTACCTGCTGAGTACTATACTAGGCACTGAGCATCCAAGGTTAGTTATGATATGAGCCACATCCTCAAGAGTTCATCTATTGAGGAAAACCTTCTCTTTCCTAGTTTTGACCTGGGAGACTACCAGTATTTTTTTTTAAGTGCCTTCTGCATATATCTGAGTTGATCCATTCTGTGCTGATGTTATTCAATTTTCAGAGTTCTAGGAGCATTACACTGTTGCCCCGTATACCAACTACAAGAGGTATTTTATATAGAAGAGGCACTGAAGTACTGGGGGTGGGGGTGGGGGGTTAAGCAGCTTACATGAAATCGCTAAGTTAATAAGTAGTGGAGCCAAGATTCATATTCTAGGTCTTTCTGACTCCAAAGATCACACAAGCTTTCCTCTATTCTATGCAATCTCTAATAAACGAAAAACTCTGAATACATAATACATATAGTGCCTACTAGTACATTTCTTGACATATTCTCCAAATTCAATGACTATGTCTGCCAAAATCATATCAATAATATCAAGTTATAAATTTGTACAGGGCATTTAGTTCTCCTGCTAACTATTAGGCCCCCAAACTTAACAAGCCAGGAATAAATAGTCTTCATTTTGGAAGGTCAAGGCCCGATCCACTGACATTTATTTAGTACTCAGAAAATAGAATCAAAATTCAGATCTCTTTTCTAGTTGTAAGCTCTAATCTCAGCAAAAAATATAGCCCGTCTAATATGTAATATATTTAAATTTTACTTCCACTTTAAGCCTTATTATGTAAAGCACATTAACACTGATTTTAAAACATAGGTTACACAAATAAAAGTAATGTAAAAAGTGCACCATTGGATCATATCTCAAATCATCTAAAGCTTTAAATTACATATTCTGTTAATATAGTTTCCTTTTACACTGAGTTATTTTTTAAAAAAAAAGCTTCTTAAGCAACCCCATTAAAATCTACCTCTGTTCTTCATGTTTCTCATGAATTACAATAGTTCATTACAATTTATGGCAAAGAGTCACTGAGCAAGGAAATTACTTGAACACAAATCTTAATGTACAAATAAGAAAAACGTGATGAACTTGGAAAGGGAGAAGAAGAAATGGAGGAAAGAAATTATTTGGTGGGAGTGCAATGAGAATATAAAACCAGAAACTGCAATTCATCAAACAGGAAGTCCTGAAATCACATGACATGCAGGAAAATAAAACTTAAAAATAAATGAAAAGGGGAAAGATGGGCACCCTCAATAAAGCCAAGGGAGGGAGGAATGAAAAAGGCTTAAATGGATATATTACACACCTCTTTAAAAAAAAAAATAGAATAAGTTATATTTAAATAATCTGGGGATAGTTAAGGAACTACTTTCACTTTCTTACGTTTTCCTAATACTCAACAGAGAATGACACGAATATCTACACAATAACTGTCAAAAAGCTAAAGAAAATAATTTTTCTCCTAAAATATATAATCAAATGGTTTTTATGATGACCACAGATTTTTTTACACAAATAGGAAAACTCAGTATATTATATTCACAATTAAGAAATACCATCTGAGTTAAATTGATCTTACCCATTAACGTTGCTAAAAGACACAAGGAGTACATTTCTTTGTCAGCTGGCTCCTGAAGTTCCTTAGATGACAGTTTACCAGAAACAGCAATCTCTTCTTGTTTCACAGTGTGGGCTGAGTGTGCTGTAGCAGACTGACCACCTTCTGCTTTACTTTTTAGAATCTCTATTGTAATTCTGTCACCATGCTGTAAAGGAACTGGCTCCTTTTCCATTCCTGCCTGGGGTGGCATTAACTCTTTAGGAGGAAAGCCATATCGAATACACTGTAAATATGGAGGAATGCTGAATTCTCTGGCTATGCTTTCCTGAAGTTCAAAAAAGGTTGTTGAAGACTTAAGAGTAACCATGGACTGTCGCCCATCATTAGTTGTTATTCGGATCTTCTTTTCCTTAGAAGTTGTTGGTGAATAGGGAGCCTTGGTAGGGGTAGCAGGTGCAGAGGATGGACCATCACGAATGGCACTGGGAGAAACAGTCCTGGCCTGTCCTTTTTGTTCTTGTTTTAACTTCTCTGTTTTCCGTTTCTGCATTGCAGAAGCCTGTTCCGTAATATTCTGTTGAATAGTTCTTTCAGTTTTACTCATGTTTAACTCTTCTTTGTGCAGAGTTTTTGTTTTCTGTCCAGTAAGAATGATTTTGGTTGGGAGCTGAGACTCCGACTCTTGTCCTTGTACATCTCCCACTCTTTGGGCATGAGCACCATCTATATTTACAGGAGTATAATCATCAGGATTCTTCTTGGCAGTCTGATGCAATATAGTGTGGACAACTTTCTGAACTAAGATTTCACTCCCAAATTCACCTGGAAAGTGCTTGGTAACAAGTTTCATTGCAACATCATAAACATTACTATTCAAAGATGGATCACTTTCATACTGGAACCAATATACTGTTTCTCTGACTACTCTGCCACCCCATTCCAAAGTAATAGGAAAAGCTTCTGGTAGATTGTCATATTCTTTACCATCCCAAAAATGCTTGAATCCACAACCACATTTGCCACCAGTGGACCTAGAATTAGTTCTGTCTCCATCCAAATACACAATAGAGCCATCTCCTCTGACTCTTCGCACAGATGTGCCATGGCACCAATTACAAGCTGTTAAGTTACTCAATCCGTAATCTGGTACCAGAACATCTTTCACTGAATCATATGAGCAAACCAAATTGTTTAAGGGAAAGCTATAATTTTTGTCAGGCCTCAGCTGTCCATGAGTACTTTTTGCCAGGTTATACAGTTTCCCTCCTGGAGCCAGCCACTCTGGAGGAACATGAAGTTCAGAAAGGGCACCACAGAGCAAACATTTGTGAAGTCGATTATCCATTACTGCTTTTTTAGCAGCTGCTGTGACTTCTTCAGGCTGAACTCCAATCACCCCAGTCCTCCTGTAGAAATACTGATGGACATCAGCAACCAAACTAGGATGGATACCATGTTTGTCCATAAACACTTCTTCCATAGCAGCAACAAGTCTAAGTAAGTATTTATCCTGCAGACTTCTGTCTCCTCCAATAACACAACCACCATCCTCCTCAAGTTTGATGTACTTTTTAATAAGGTCCTGAGGCACACCCCATGCTTTAGGAAGCAAATTCATAGGCAGTTTGGGCAAAGCAGCCCCTTTGATGCCTACCAAGGGGATATAATGGTTTCTACCAGAGCTACTCCATGCAATACAGATTGGTTTGTTCAAGTGACCATCTCTCCCAGTACACTTCTCTGCAGGGATGAGCCCAGGCAGAAAGGTGGCTGAATAATCACCAGAGCTTCTCATCCCACTGAGAGAATCTAACAGAATAATAGGGCGATGTAACACATTGGCAAGGCCAAATATGTGGATGTTCCTCAGGCCCAATGGAACACCCTCAGGTGGTACAAACAGAGGGTCACACTCATTGATAATGTCCTCCCACTCAGCGGCATCAATGAAGTCATGGAACAGGGCTTGATATCGGGCCAGGTGCTGCTGAAAGTGCTGTTTCAGATTCTCTCTCAAGGCATGCCAGAAGAGCTCCCGGCCTACTAGAGCCCGGGACACAGCATGGACCAGGCAGTGTCCATCCCCGTCCACATGCACTGGAATGAGGCATTCCTGACTTTTATTGGCCCGCTTGATGTCTTCAAGAGTGTCATGCAAATATAGGAGGCTTCCGGAGCGGTCCTTGCCATAGCCCACCGTGTTAACATGCTCTGGTTCGATAAGGAAGGCGCGGTCTCCCAGTAAAGCACAATCGAACAGTTCGCCCTGGTTCATGTCCCGGAGAAGCTTAGCCCGGCCCGTCTGTTTGTCCATTCCATAGCGAGCTAATATGGGCGACAACAATTTGCAGTGGTAGTTGGAAAGGCCCATCACCTTTACCAGTTCCGTGTTCTTCTTGGGTGCCCCTGTCACTCCCAGCAGCGCGTTCCGCAGCAGGTTGTGTAGCACTACGTCCGGGTCCGTCACCTCCTCAACCCCCAGCAGCTGCTGCTGCTCGTGCCGCTGTCCGCACTCAGTACACTCGATGCTGACAGAACCGGAGGCCGGGAAGAACAGGCGCGCCTGGCACTTCGGATCCGGGCAGCTCCCGGAGAGGATTCTCCGGTCTCTCCGCTTCGAAAGGCTCCCCGGAGCAGCCGCCGCAGCCGCCGCGAGGGACGGCGGAGTCTGCGGAGCCTCAGGGGGAGGAGGTGGCGGCGGCAGCGGAGGCGGCGGCGGCGGCTGAGACATAGCTGTCGGCTCTCGTGTCTCGCTCCGCGTCCCAAGCGACCCTCAAAGGCTCATAGCCCAGACCCCCACCGGCCTGACTCGGTCTAGTCCAGGCCCAGGGCGAATCACTTTCCTTTTCCTACCAGCTCCTCCTCCTCCTAAGCGAAGGCGGAAGCGCCGGACGTTGTTTCTCTTCTTACTTCTCCACAGCCTTAGCCGTTGCCCCGAACGTAACGGCCACCACCCTAACCCGCACTCACACTCACTGACTCTCGCTCTCTCTCCCTCAGACACACGGACATACACGCCCTCACTGAGAATGCGCAGGCGCAGCTTCAACCCTGCCTTCTGGGAATTAGAGTCTTCTAGCCTCTCTATTGGCCATCGAGTGCTAGGATCTTAGGTACATAATGAACTACAAATACCGTGAGGCAAGGCGGTTCAGCGCCCGCCAAGGGGAGGAAGAGGAAGTCAGTAGGAAGGCGGGGCAGAACGAAACTAGTCACTCACATTGCCAGCCGGGAGTTGTAGTTTTAACTGGTTTGGCTTTGCTGTCTTCCCCATTCTGGGACCCAAGCAAAAGAGTGTGAGAGACCATCTTTCCTAGGATGCACTGCGTCCAGCTTCACTTCCCCTTTAGGCGGCGAGAAGTATACGGGGCATCTTGGTAAGAAGCCGAATTAAAGGGAACGGGTGTCGGAAGCAGAAGGGCCGAACTTCATGACTTCTAGAAGGGGAGGGGAATGAAAGGCTCTCAGTGAAGAAGGTACAGTAAATAAATGTCCAGCGATATAGCGGGCTGGGAAGTTGAGAGAAATGGTCTTCTCTGTACTGGAGGTCGTAAGAAAAGCGGGAAAATAGGGAATTGATTCTCGGAGTGTTCGTTAAGGTCTTTTTTTCTGCCACACTTTTCTGTTTTCATTCTTCCCGCTATTTCAAGTCAGTGAGGCGTCTGAGCCTCGTTTTCTGCCTTTTCCCCCTCTCTTTTGAGGGTCACTGAGGCGCCATTTGTTTTCCTCGTCCACTGTACTTCTTTGCAGTTCACAACACAGTACCTCCTCCCCTCAGAGAGAGAGAGAGAGCAGTCATCACTTATTAAATTCTTAATTTATGTTTGTCACAGAGTTTATATACAGGGTACCATTTGCTCTTCATAATAACCTTGTTAGGAAACACGTTCAAAAAGGAAATGACTTGCTTAAGTTCAGGCAGTCATTAAGTCACTGGTTAGGCATTCAGACCTAGATCTATAGCCATTTTACAGATTAGGGACGTAGGCAGGAAAGGTTAGGCTGGTATTAGTAAATTAGTAACTACCTTCTTACTTTTATAGCTTACTATTATAGTAATCAATAGGTTACTATTATAGGTTACTATTATAGTTGATGAAAATGTCCAGCCTAAGAAAATGCCTTGTAAGAGTTTATTTGAGCCAAACTGATGACAATTGCCTGGAAGCAGAATCTCAAGGGATTGAGATAACGCTCCAGAAAATGGCAGTTCTGTAGTTTATTTTATACATTAGATTCAAAGGAGGAGCTGTAAGGAGGGTTACATGAAATTCACTCATGGTCGATAGATTAAGGGGACAGGAGAAAGCAAAGAGGGGAAACCTCTGGGACTGAATAAAAAGTAAAACACACAGCCACATGCTTCTTGTACATTGGTGGTTAGATGCAAAAAATAAACAACTTCAGAGGTAAAGACTGACTTTTGTCAGATGAAGCTACAGGCCTACGACGAGACTACCCACCATTACCCGCTTTTCGTGAGCAATTTTTGTGTTCAGACCACCCTGTGTGATTACGTTGGTCTCTGGTTTGTCAGGTTTAGTGTGTAGCCCCTTGTTTCCTCCACATAGTGTACATAATATGTTCGTGTATGTTATCTAATACTCACACCAGTCCTGTGATACCTTTACCAGGTATGATTGATTCCATTTACAGTTGTAGAAACAGACTAAAAGGAATTAAGTGACTTGTTCAAGGCAAATCACAGGTGGGCCTCAGACTCAGCAAGTGCTTTTTACACTACTTCCTTCGTCTACAAAAGAAAAAAAGCTATTAAGATCAAACCTTCTGTTTGGCCTCTGGATCGCCTCTTAGTGACTCGGGTTGTGAGAATGTGTACCCTTAAGGAGGAGAAAGAGCTTTATTTTATTGCTTATATGCTGGGAAACTGCCTTTTCATGCAAAACACATTCATATGTTAATTGGAAGCTAGTATTATTTTAATTATTATTGTACAATCAACCACTTTTACTTATTCTGGAAATTCTTGCTTTCAAACCTTAGATAAATGAACTTCCTCAAAATTTCTGAAACATTTGGCACAAAATAGAAACATCAGTGCAGCCCATGAGATCATGTGTCTTCCGTAGCTGCCAAGGGAAATGTTTACCTGATTAGGTTTTCTGAGTAAATAGAATTTGATGCTTGAAATGAACCATCTGTAAGATAGACACTCCTAAAGGGTCTTAGCACTGACTTTCACCTGATTGTTATCTGTAATGGTCTTCAAAATAAATGATATGTTTGGAAGAGATGTTTGGAAATATGCTTGGAAATCCTTCAAATGTTAATTGTTTTCTTGCCCAATGCAAAAATAATGTTACCTTCAAACAAGACAGGTAATGTTACTTACCTTTAAGGGGATAACTTTCAAGAAAGTTTTTCTTAAAGAATTAATTTATACAGAAAAAGTTGTTTATTTCTGTTTTGATAATAGTTTGGTGGTAACTGCATATGTGGTCTTGGAACTTATTTTTTTTTAGTGTTTATAAGTTGAGAAACTGGATATGCCCCTTAAGTGGAAATTATTTTCTACCGTGACTGAGAAATTACATCTGCAGTGAAATTTTATTTTTCTCATATAGAACCCAAGGAATTGAATTATGAAAGCTGATAGCAAGCAGTGTGCAATTCTAACACTGTCTGCACTTTTATATCTTAACACCACCAAGCCAAATTTTCCTTAGTGGTAATACATATGAACAGTGAGATAGATTTTTTAAATTGCACCTGAATCTGTCATTCTGAATCATACCTTGACAAAAGAACCATTCCCCACCCTGCTGAAAAAATGGGCAGCATTTCTCTGGTTTGTCAAGTACCAACCCCCTTGACTGATCCAGGGCTCGTTTCCCCATATGGAGCCTTGATTACTTACAAACATTCTTCCCAAACTAAATTTGATATTTAAACCCATTTGTTACTATAGTTCTCCTAGTTTTAAGGATTATACTTTTCAGGGAAAAAATAGAAACACCCTGGTATAAAGCATAGTTAGTGGGAGTTGGGGAAAGCATAGTTAGTAGGGGAAGAGGTAAGTTTTCAAGCAATTCTAGAATTAAATTAGATCATTAAACCTGAAAGTCACTAATTTAATGAATCTGTAGATTCAGTCAAAGTTCAGAAAGTAAGAAAGCTAACATAAATAAAGGGGCAATCATATTAACCATGCCAAGTTCAATATGTGAATTAATTCTTTACAGGTACTTAGAAGGTATGCGTGCCAATAAAGTAAGAAAAAGAAATTTTGTTAGAACGTAGGAGTGCTGAAAGCGTCTAACCTTCTTATATCCATGCTTCCTCCCTCTTCCCCCGAAATTCTATGATCTTAATTGCCTCATAACTTTCACAAGATCTTTGTGGAATACATGATAGTTTTCGTACTTATCTCAGTATTCCAGATGGGGAAAATGAGCTGGGGACCTATGTTATCTGCTCTGGTGTATACCGTATTTGCTGGCGTATAAGACGACTGGGCATATAAGACGACCCCCTAACATTTCCACTCAAAATACAGAGTTTGTTA